GGGGAGAAACCGGGAGAGAAACCCAGGAAAAGGGGAAAAACGGGGGGAGAAACCGGGAGAGAAACCCAGGAAAAGGGAAAAAAACGGGGGGGAGAAACCGGGATAGGGGAGCCCGAGAGCGAGCTCCACCTCCCTTGTTGTCTCCGGTGATAGCTTAAGGCAGCGTTGTGCAGAGTCCACTTTCATAACACGGTATTTTAACATCCCCCTTTCTCACAGGCTAGAAGGAATAACTGTTTAATTCAACTATCCCCTCTAAACGCAGTCACTCAACAAACCTAGGGGAAAAATCAAGAACTATTTGGAAAAAAAGTGTTCTTCCCCACTTTTCTCTATAGCCTCGAGGCCCCTGCAGAGACTTCAATGGCTAGAGCAGAAAGCTGAAGGACAATTACACAGTTTAAATGGAGACAAGTCGTGACTTGCAGGTAATTTATCACTTTTACAGATTCAAAAAGAACTCTGCACATGATGCTGCAGAGGTTAACACCTATATATTCCACGCTTTTCATCCTGTAATATCCAGTTACCTTCAGGGTAAGGTGCTGGAGAAATGCTTACATGGACACTGTGGCTTTTGGGATTAGCCATGAGGTTCCACAGCCCCATTTCTTCATTTAGCAGCCTTGTCTCCATAACTAACTAAATAAAAGCAGAAGAGGGAAGCATAGCAAAACCTCCTTGAACAGCCCCCGAGATAGAAAGATCAGACACACACAGATCTGTTAAGAAACTAACTCAAAGTTTCAGGTGGTTTTCAGGTAGTCACTAATCTATCCTAAAGGCACAGCAGAGTTTGTGCATGAGATGAAAAAAAAATATGAGATACTCAAGACAAAGATATCATTGCAAAAACAAAAAGTCTTTTATTTACATATTCCACAGTAAGCAGTTATTATGCTCTCTTCTTTACAGCAATAATCCCTTGTAATTTGTCACACTGATTTTCACTAAAATGCAACAATAAGGAGAAGGCCGGGGCGGTTTTCTTCAGGATGGAAGCCTGGACTTTTTAAATGGCCAATATGAAGACAAGGGCCTTTTCATTAAGTTTCACAGTTTATTCCTGGTGTCTAAGCTACACATTATTGTCAGGAGCTAAGAGGTATTCTAGTTGGACAGCACAGGGCTGTTGGGAAGAGAAACCCTCCCTCCGGGGGCTGAAAGGTGCTTGTGCTCCTGCCTCACGGACGGGTTCCCTTCCTCACGACAGCTCCTCAGTGCTGGATCTTCCTCTCCGTGGAATAACCTGGTGGGTCCCAGCAATGCGGTTTTACTCTGCCTTTTGTCTGACAGAAACTGGTTCAGTCAGGACAGAGACATAAAGTTTCAGCCAAGCGTAAGTGACGCCCAGAGCGCAGTACACAGAGGTCAACAACAGGGGAACAAACGGCAGGGTGAGTTTCCAGGGGGTCAGGGGAAATACAATTTCACAGAAGATTTCCAAAGGCACTAGTTGAAAGAGGTAGATTGTCTCAGGCCAGTTCAGTATAGACTTCTCTCTCCTGAAAGAGAAAGAAAAGAGTTAAAATGTTAATAGCATAAATAATGCGATTTTTCCCACTTACCACTCCCCCCCTCAACCAAATTTCAGTAGATTTATGCATCAATACTTCTTGCAAAGAACAGGCAATACGTTTGACTGTAGAGAGTTTACAGGGAGTTTTCTGTAAGCATTTGGTTGTCAAATTATAGCTCTTTGTCAGAACATGTTATTTGCAGCCTGCCACTTCACACATAAAAACTAAAAGCATTTTTGCAAAATGCAATAGTATTTATAACTTCCAGCACAGATGAACAATGACCAGAGAATTCAGTGTAATATATGTTCTAATATCAATTTAAAAACCCACAGGCTAAAATTTTATGCTTTAATAGTACATAGAGGCGTGTGAGTTGTGTGAATTTACCATCCCCTGTGAGTACAGGGCAGAGGCTCCAGTTCAAACACAATGAGGATGTTTAATAGGCGACAAGACTTAGGACACGACTGTTGAGTCTAGGACAGAAGTATCATCATTTCTTGATGAGTATTCCACTAGGATAACATCCATTTGCCAACCCATTCAACCTTGATGGCAACACTGTTGCCAGTGACAGAAGTGGTTTCATTCTTGCCTTCAGGAACAGTTTGTTTAATTACCTGAATAGAGATTTCAGTGAAGAGAAGCTATAAATAGTAAACAGCAGCATCAGCAGTATTTTAATTGGAAGTTCTGAAATACAAAGAACATTTTAAGAGTTAAAAGATTTTTTTAAAAAAATTATACTAGTGAAACTCACATTATTTAATAATTATTTTCTCCAAACAGGAAAAAAAAGTCTTAGCTTTAGGTGTCTTAAGTAGTATCTAATACACTTATTTAATAACATACTAAGCATTGCAATACAGGTACTTGAGGAATCTATAAGCATATTGAACATTAATTACAATTACAATGCACAAAGGTACTGAAAGGTATTTTTTTTCATATTCAAAAAGATCAAAAAATTACAGAGAAGCTTAAAGCACTAAAGGGAAAGCCAAGCCAAAAATATCTAGCTCTAGGTTGCAGGCTCTGTAGAGGCTAGATACTAGAGAACACAAAGGAAGCTGCTCATCCCTGAGGGCTGCAGCTTCTCTATTGCAAATCAGCATCAGCCCAAACTGAATATGTCTAGATTGGAGTGTATCAAAAGGATGTCAATCATTACACAGAAGTTGCAGTGTTGTTTTAGCTATGACGGTCTAAGGATTAAGCCAAGCAAATAGACCTTTAATTAAAATGAAAGGGATGGGGA